ATAATCTGTGTTTTAGTGTCGTGAGTTGAGGATGAAACAGATCAATTATCAGCTAATCATTCTCACCCAACCCTTGGTCCTCTCAGCCCTACGAACTGTTTTAGCTTTTTTCAGCTTTTTTCAGTTTATTCACCTGTATTTCAAGCTTTCTGACAGCATCCTTTTTTCTGCTGTACCGACTATATATTTTTTGATAAGCTGCTTGCCCAGAGCCAAACAACAGATCGTCAAGTTTAACCTCTATCACATGGACACTTGATCTCTTGGCAGCCAGAGAACAGAGAGCCTCGGATATTGCTAGTAGCAGTTGTCGGAGAGCAAACAGAGCCGAGAGAAGTGTCAATAGTGGACTAAGATTGATCAAGCAGACTCCAAGTGAAGAAGAGTGTATGATGAGCAGGTGATTATGCAAACTAATTGTAGCAGAGAGGTCTCGTCTCACCCTCATTGGATTCTAACTTTCAAGATCAGTTGTTCACAACACATTTTCCCTCGTTACCCCACTTCCAACTAGAGCTATAAAAAGTAGACACTGCATATCAATTATGAAATACGGAGCCCTGAAGGTGACATGAACTTTTTTTTTTTCGCACGTGCGATTTAGTATTTTGTACGTGTGTTTTGTTATATCGCAGGTGCGATTTAACTGTTTGTTAATAATCAAAATCACATCCTGCAAGTCCAAATATCGCCAACGGCAAAGTTGCTGTGCTTCAAGGATCCTGACGAGGTGCCTCCTACTCAAAACACACCAAATGTGGCTAAACTATAAAGCATCTCTTTGTGAGACATACCTAACAAATGAGGCGCACAGAGGATATATTTACAAAAACGCATGCGCAAGATAAAAAAAAAAATGCACGTACAAGATACATATAAAATGCACGTTTGAGATACTAAATCGTATGTGCGAATTAAAGTTTGTCACCTCCTGGGCTCCTTAATAAAAAGTTATCTATTCAAAAGATAATTTATGTACCCAGCTTAAAAAACAAAAGTCCCACAGTTGGTTACAAAGCCCTGTTGGCCTACTTAAAGGACAAATAAATGTGAAACATTTCAATTTAAAGTCAGGATACAAAAAACATTGGCCAACCCAGTTGTTATGATTTTCATCAAACTTAACATTTCCAATGGAGTTAATGTTGCACAAGATTAACCAGAACCCTGCAGGAATGTAAATGCAGACATCTCTGTTTTCATTCAGCTCTTTTCTTCTCAGAGCTTGCAGGACAGGACATGATATTAAAACATTCATATATTTGTTTACCCTTACCAAGTAGAAAGATCACTTTTAGAAACTTGACTGATTTGATCAATTCTGTGTGATTTTGTTGTCTCCAACACATTCGATCAGAATCAAATATTATCCAATTCACTAATGGACAATATACATTCATCTGCACTTTACATTTATGCTATTCCTGTATATTTACCATATTTATTCTGTTAATAGGATCTCAGGACTGTGCACTTTATATTTTATACTGTTACATCTTACATTTATGCATATCCGTACCATATTTATCCTGTTAAAAGAATATCAGGTCCACATGTTTACATTGTATATACTTCATATTAATCTCATTTCATATTTTCTATATTTTTTATCTATCTTTTTTCCAATGTCTTGCACTGATATGGGTGGCTTTAATCTCATTGTACTGCGTATAAAGACAATGAAAGGCATTCTGATTCTGACTCTGATCTGATTCTGATTTACACAGCCAAGTGAAAAGAAACCTGTGTCAAAAACAAAAATATATGATGCCCTGTCACTTTATAGTTGCTTGTTTTGGATGGAAACCAAAGTGTTAATTGTGTTTCAAGATGGGTCCTGTTATGCAATCCCTGATTTTTTTTGTTCTAAAAACAGAGTTTTAATCTCTACCACATAATGTCCAACCAAAACAAGCAAATTAGCAGGATTGGACAAGTTGTCTTCAGCTGTATTTAGGTTTGTGTGCTGTCATAGTAAACACTCAGCAGCTTCATGCCCCAACACGACTACTGATCTCTTTTTCTGGTCCTTCCACCTGCTGTTTGTCACACCCATGTGCCCCCGGCTGCAAACACCATTACACTCAAATAAACACTAAGGAAAATAAAGCGTCATTTCTCTCAAAGATTTTATCAGTCCAGTTCGAAACCCAAACCTTCCTGGTTGTTGCGGATATTTTACTTCCTCCCTCTCTAAATCTGTGAAACCGGAGGTCATGTTTTGTCTGTGTGGACTCAGTGGGAACCGCAAGGTGCTGATTTGAGCCCAAGGCTGTCACAACACATCTCCAGAGATCCATCACATGCAGAGTGTGACACCCTTCAGAGAGAACCGGAAAAACCCAAACGGTTGCTGAAGTTAGGGATTGGATTTCTTTAATGGGTTAATATAAACAAGCCTGTTATGTGCAGTGGGTTTATTAAGCGGGACAATAATCAGCCTGGGTGTTCTGACTTAACATAAAACATAGAAATTTAGATCTCAACATGATTTACTTTCTGCTTTTATCATTTACCTGCTGTAATAATTCTATTTTACAACTTTGGATGCAAGATATTGAAACCCTTTTACATGGATTGACCCATTATATTCATCCATCCTCACACACACACACACACGCACATGCACACGTTCTGTCCTTAACACACCTGGCCCTCCTTTGGCAAGCAAACTCTTGCAAAGAAAGGCGCCCCACCACGCGCTGAGTCACCGCCTAGGCTTGTCTCCACAGTGATACTCTTCCAAACAAAATCCCATAAATACACACACGTACTCACACTCACAAACACACATCTTGGCAGCAAAGAGAAACCCCATTTGAGAGGATATATCTCATTATTCTACAACAGTCACACACACACACGGTTTTTCTGTCTTTGTAATCAGAGTATTAAACCAGCCACAGACCTCCTGCTCTAGTGTCAGGACACATGCAGGGGATAGTCGGCAGACTGCTTGATGAACTGTTAAAGTGAGTCACCATGGTAACGCCCTCTGACTGCCTGTAGGATCACAGTATTACAATGTGGAGTCTTATGGGTGATTCTTTTTTATTCAGGGAAGTAAAGAGAAGTCTGACCCAAATACTGTCTGAGTTTTTACATAATCAGAAGAGAAATCAGGAGGATGTGTGTGTGTGTGTGTGTGTGTGTGTGTGTGTGTGTGTGTGTGTGTGTGTGTGTGTGTGTGTGTGTGTGTGTGTGTGTGATGTGTGTGTGTGACCTTTTACATCCTGGAGGAAACTGAACGGGAGAAGTTTCCGAACTGTCTGTGAGGCGAGGTCTGATAGCGATGCAGTCAGCAGAGTCTGAAGTGGGTGCTTGATGCACGTTGGTCACGGTTTATCCTGACTGGTGCATTTGAACTGAACGTCAGAGGGCTGGGGTCATGAGTGTGTGGGTGATGGTGGGGAAGAGTTAAAGTCTGCCTCCCTATCACCTTTTTTTCCTGCTAATTCTCACAAGGAAAGGGTTGGGGGATACAGAGAATCGTATTCAGAATTTGCAGATTTTGCACAGAAGTTCTGATACTTTCAGGAGCCAAAGTCCAGGATCTCAGCAAAACACATCTGAAGTCTTTGTCTGACCTTTTTGATGAGTGGTTGTATCACACTGTGGTCAAGGCAGCAGATGTGAAATTTTATGAGACAGGGCACACCTTTCAGAGATATCAAAGGACATCTGACTCATTCAGCTAAGCTTTCATTTTCTGTCATGACTCCTCATGTCAGGTCTGAATCATATAACTGTAAAACCACTACCATGATTACAGCTGCCCTTTCCTTTCCTTTCTTTATTGTAGAATGGACCGGGGTGTTTTGTGAAAACACTCCATTTTGCTTTATTGTCTATCTGTCAGATAGACAGATACTATCTGTCAGGAGTTTCTTAATGGTTTAAAAAACAGCTTAAGAAATGTACAATACCCAACTCAAAACTGAGACTTTCATTCAAGTATGACTAGCATTAAGCTTATCTAAGCCTTTTATTCTAACTTAAAGACAGAAGATCAGGCTCACCATTTAAATGCTACGCTTTGTCATGATCATCACTTAACACTTCAACGCTTGTTTTTATTGTGATATAAAGTAACTTAAGACAGCTTAAACATGTTTGACATTAGCATTGAATTCACCTTCATGTTATATTACCGTATTTTTCACACTATAAGGCACACTTAAAATCCTTTTGGCTTGTTGGAGCACTGCAGCTACAGTAGCCTCGCTGAGTTATTGAATGAGTTATAAGTTTGACTTATCTGGTTATTTTGTTTGGCTTGATGCACTTTATAATCCGGCGTGCCTTATAATTGGGTACGCTTTATGTATGAAAATAGACGCGTTTATTGATGGTGCGCCTTATAATCAGGTGTGTCTTATAGTACAAACTAGAAAAGCACTCGGAGAGCGCAGACCTCCGCCAAGCAGCTCATGTCCCCCCTTAAACAAGAAATGCCCTGACCAGGATTCAAACCCAGGACCTTCTTGCTGTGAGGCGACAGTGCTAACCACTACACCACTGTGCCGCCTATCTACACCACTGTGCCGCCCATTGGTTATCTTTCAGCATTGAAAATTCCAATGACACCCTTATTTTTGTGTGTTCTAGATCACAGTATCTGGAATTTTGTCCGGATCACCACCAAAATGTAATGGGATCCTCCTGGGGCTGAGACGCACCTCTGGTGAAAATTTCGGGTCAATCCGTCTGTTACTTTCTCCGTAAAGTTGCTAACAGACAAACAGACAAACAAACAAACAAACCAACGCTACTGAAAACATAACCTCCTTGGCGGAAGTAAAAATATGGTAGTAGTATATAATATATATTATATGATATTATTATTATTATTGATAGGATTGGTGGAATAGAGGAAGGAGTCGTCAAATGAGAAAACATATACTAATTTGCTCTAAGTTATAGCATGTTTTAATTCAGTTAACTCTTTGAGGAGGAACTTATCAACAACTTATTGTTTGGGTCAATTTTGGCGCCTCCTGTTGGGTAAGAGGCATTTAGTCCCATGCAAGAAGTATTTCTGCCAAAAAAAAAGACATATTTTGACACCTTATATCACTAACCCCCTCACAGAAATCAACCCCCATATTAATCAGAAACTATTGAGATAACAGTCTTCTTTACTGTTGTAGGTCATTACTCTTTATTTTAACCTGCTTCACAATGTGTCAAAAACAGGAGTTTGAACTTCCTTTCTCAAAGCAGCAGCAGGGTGACATTTCTATTCCTGTTGAACTGTCTTGCGATCATAAACCCTGTTTCTGAAAGTGTTTGTTTTCAACTAATGACAGTGCTACCTCAACTTTTGAACATGCACTCTCTTTATTTAGTTGCCTCTGACAGTTTAATGAATCCTCTGCTCCCTGAGAGGGAACTGTGTGTGTGGTCTCTTCAGAGTCCTTGACAGGAATAGCAGACTTTGTGTAAAATACCACTGACATGGAACAGGTTTAGTCTAAAGTGTTACCTTTTTAAAGCAATCAGAGGAGGAGGGTGGCAGAATGATTGACCAGCCTGGCATGGAAAAAGTCTGGATCATAAACTGTGTGAGTGGATTCTGAATAAATGCTGGTTTATAAAAGGTTTGCCTGGACAAGAAGACTTTTACGCACGTGCTCAGCTCCCTCGGCCCCCATAATCAAACATATTTGTCTGAATCAGGGTCAATATTTGGACTAATCTCCACAGCAGGATGTGGATTTGTAATTATCATGTTTGCAGTGTAATTAAGCTTGGCGTTAGGACTTCCTCCACCCTCTCCGCCTCCTGCGCAAACGCTTCCGCCCACTCAGCCTCTGAATTACTCCACTGGCAACTGTTGATGCATTCCCCGATCATCTGACGTCAAGTGGGCAGGGCTCGGGTCCGGGAGGCCTATAAAAGTCTTCTTCAACTCAGTTTCATTCACAACGTCACTCTGGATTACTACAAGCTTTGACAGAGAAGCTCCCTCCTCGGGATCACTCGAAAGGAAAGCGAGGATTTAAAAAGAGAAGAAGAAAAAACTTCCCACGTGGACTATGAAAATGTCAGCGGAGGAGATCAGCCAGGTCCTCAAAGAGGGAGAGCTGGAGAAGAGAAGCGACAACCTGCTCCAGTTCTGGAAGAGGAAAACGTGCGTCCTGACCACAGACAGCCTCAACATTTACGCCGACACGCAGAAGCGCACCAAGGGCAAGGAGCTGAAGTTGCAGTCCATCAAGAAGGTGGACTGCGTGGAGCGCACCGGGAAGTTCGTCTATTTTACCATCGTAACTACAGACAATAAGGAGATCGATTTCCGGTGCCCCGGGGAGGACAACTGCTGGAACGCAGTGATCACTATGGCGCTGATCGATTACCAGAACAGAAAGGCCATCCAGGACTTTAAAACACGACAGGACAACGAGAGCGCGTCACCCGGACAGCAGGAAAGACGCATGGCGAGGGCGCCCTGAGCGCACGAGGACTCCGGCACTTACCCACACCTAATATGGTGAGAGACGCACCGTGACCACACATTACATGATGAATAATTTGTAAAAGTCTTTGAATAAGTTTGTTGTTGTGGGAAAACCATGAAAATAATCACGTGTTATATTTTGATCTCCGTTTAGAGTCAATAAGGACCATACAGAAACACACCACGGACCAAAGGAAGACGAGGTCATCCGGTCCAGAGATGAAGGATTGTTCGGGACTGAGGTCTCAGAGAGAAGAGTCAGACAGCCAGACAGAGATCCACAAACAGGACTGAACCCTTGAATCGTCAAAACTATTTCAAGTTTACTCTCCTGGGAGGAATGACTCCTAAACCATGATGTTAATTTATTTGTTTCCAGAATATTGTGTTACTGGCAAACAGCTTGTATTGTTAAATTATTTACTATTTCAATGTGTGTTGAGTGTGTATTTATTTGAATAAATATTCATGCTTTTTGACATAACTCTCAGCTCCTTTTGTGCTGTGATTTATTCATATTAAGTTCATTTCTAAGCCTCTCTACTTGGTGTTAAGGTGTCTTCACAGATGAAGTAAAAGCTACACTCGTCCCCATAGTACCAGCAGAGTTTATTCACTGAATTCCTCACATGCAGTTGTAAAAAGGGAGTGGAGGACAGGAAAGTCCCCTTCCGCCGCGCTGTCAGGTGGAATGTGACTCTTTATTGTCACTGGGAGGGTTTGAGGTCTGAGTCAGGACTGATAAGGAGGGCAAATATAGTCATCAGCACGGGACACTCAAAGACTCAGTGGAGCCTTTGAACACACCTCACATGCTCCCTGGGTGTGGTAAAAGTTTCCTGGTCTCTTAAATTCATAATGCAAAAAACGTTATATTCAAGAACTACTATTTCACTGATGTGTGTTTTTTTTTAATTTTCATTCTCATTATTATTTTTAATGTCACATAAAGCTACTTCAGTGATGTTAAGGCAGCTTTTGAACATGTCTAGCGTTGACAAACTCCTCTACAACCTTCTTATCAGATGCCACTGTTCTTTACAAGGTAGAGTAAACCTAAGAAGTTTACTTTACAGCCCTGTTATCATTAAATAAAGACTGCAACAGTGTGTGGGAGTGCACAGATATTGACTCAGTGACTGTAATAAACCTAGTGAACATGGCTTTTGTCATACTTGGAAAACCTTTTACAAAGAGGTAATGTGATGTGGAATGATGCGTCATTTGAAATACGCTGCAAAGCAAGAATGATGTCTGTTCCTTATTATAACTAGTCCAGTGTTTTAATCATATACACCTTTAAATATATAATCTAAAGGCATTTTTTCAGTATCCTCATAATTGTTGTAGATGCCAACAATTAACCTATAGCTTGTGTCTATATTTAGTTTTAAATATAAGGAAAAGTAAGAGCTTCATGTGGGAACACACGTAATAATGCCTCATGAAGCAAAAGTGGGCAGGAACTGTTTAATTTTGCAAGGTAGATTATTATAAATACAACATGAATGGCAAAGCAAAGAACAAAATCTTCTTAATGAGGACTTAAAACCGTAGATTAACCTCAAAGTGAGGACAGGAAGTCTGTCCCATCAAACCATGTGCATTAAAACAAAACCTCTAAGCTATCCCGTACATAAATACCTCCGGTTGTGGATCTCAAAGAGTGGAAGTCTGTTATAAGCACAAATGCCATGAGGTCAAAGGTCACAGAAAGCTGAATCTGGGGGCCCGCTGTAATGAAGTGTCCAGTGAACTCACACCCCTCCCTTTCTCCTGCGTGCCGCTTTGAAGTGGGATCACACTACAATGAACGCATCAAAGGCTGATCGGAGGAGTATTACCACAGCCTCTGGACTAAAAATACTGCTTCACAAATTGGCACCACTTTAATCTCACACACACACACATACTGTACATACACACATTTGGACACTCTGGGGTTTGTGACACCGCTATGTTTTTCTGTTCTTCTACTCAAAGAAGTTTTCTTTAAGTAACTCTAAAAATAACTTTCAGTATGAGTAAATAAAGTGTTTTCAGAGGCTGGTGAAAGACGTCACACATGGGACATATGGACACAAAATGTGAGATTGTCTTCCCAGCTTCCTCACCAATCACCAAACAGAGGCGTGCACTCACACTGTGTCTTATAAACATCCTGTGACGGAGCATACGCACACACTCAGGCCATACTTGCAGTGATGGCGTCAGCACTCCATAGGCCCTCATTATGACAACACTGGACACATTGTTTTACTCAGAAGGATACAGTAAAAGGAAATAAAGAGATGATGTGTCATAACAGTGTAACAGGATCATGACCCAAACACACATCTCCAAATTAGCTTCAGTTTTTTTTAACTGTAAAGGACAAAAACATCTTATTTAAAGTCATCTATGGAAACCACAAGAGCTGAAGCCATGTCTGTGTGTGTAAGTGTGTGGGAACAGCTGACCAGGGTGCTTCGAGGTGAACGCCAGAGGAAACATGCCTCACTCCATTTCATCATCTGAAGGTAACACACACATTCCAAACTCCCATCACATCCCCAACAGCAGGAAGTCTACGATATATCAGGTCAGTCATTGGCGCTGCCTTGGAGACATAAATCTTAAACCGTCAGTTTCCTGGAGAAATTCAGAGACCAATACAGACAAATACAGAGCAGAGTGAAGTTTATAAAAGCGTTTTAGAGAAACACAATGAGAGTTGATGCTTTTTATAGAGAAAATAACATGCTTGGAAAAGTCAGAGATGGAATGAAAAGAAGGAAATTGTTTTCATCTGGCCATTGATTATTCATTTCCTTCACCTAAAGGAAGTTTCTGCATATAAAGTCTGTGGAAACTTTAACATAAAATCCTGGCTTTGGCCTTTACATATATATGCATGCCTCTAAAACCACTCGTACATTTACACTAGATCTTTGGAAACAATGTGTGCTCAAAACAATCAAAGTTTTACCTATTTGGTTATCAAAACTTTAAATCTTTGGATGTCACAACCTCCAGTCTTTTCATCATGGGATTCAAAAGTTCTATCAGATGACGACACCTCCTCAGTCCAGGTGTCAATAAATAATTCAAGATGTATCAGAAACTCTGCTGGTTACTTCACCATTTCTAACGACTGTTAACAACTAGCCTGGTCCACCTCTCTATACCCAGCATGCTTTGTGAAACAAAGTGTTGTCACTGACTTTTTCAATCGCCTTCTTATGAATAAACAATAAAACACTCCACTTTGCATTTCATGATGTTGTACTGGTCATTGTAATGGATGCAGTTCACTTTTTAGAGAACATAAAAGATATTAAAAGTGGGTCTTACACACCAAATTTTAGAGGAGTCTGAAACCTAAAACTAATTTTCCCCTACAATATCCCCTACTTGTGGTTTCAAGTCTCATGAATCTCAATCAGGGATTTCAGAGAATAAAAGCACCTGAGGGTTGATGACATGTGAACACCACTTCACTCTAAATGAGGACATCTCTTTTTCCTTGAAACGAGTGTTATGTACAAACCTGTACTTTTGTTTCACTAAACTTTCTGTGTTATTTCCTCACACCCTTTCCCGTCAGAGTTTAATCTGACGCCAGCAGGACACAACACAAGTGCTTCATGTAAATAAAAACCTCTTCAAACCCAAACAGCCAGAGGATATGAAGCAAGGCCTCATGGGAGGTCTGATTACGAATGAGCTCAAATATCTGTGTCATGGGTCCCTCTGATGAGCTTTAAACTCGACAGCCGTCACCGCTGTACCTGCCCTTTGTGTGTTTGGTCGCCATATGAATGGGATTATCTCAGAGCAGAGGTATTCACAGGCTTGTTTTACTGGATATAACCTCATCAGGTATTTCAGTTGGTGACGCATTGCTCAGGTGAGCGCATACCTGAGCTCATGTTTTAGCAGAGACGGAGCCGACACACACCCTCAGGCAATGGCTTAGACCGCCGAAGAAGCATTTTTCACCGTAAATGTAACTCTGGCTGCGCGCATATAATAAAATAAGGAGAGTTTCTCATGGTTCCCTGCTGCTTCCCATTTATCATCCCACCATCCAAATAAAGGTCATCTGATTCCCAGGATCCAGATCTGTTCTTATGGACAAATTGGAGAATATCCCCCGTCCCTTCTTCAACTTATCCACAAAGGCGTCATTCTCCTGATCGTCTGTAGCCATGACAACAGTGTTTGTGTTTTATCGGAGGTCCATTTTTGCCTGCTGAGTCATGACGAAAGAACTACCCAGATCAACATCTTCAGCTCTTTCTGCACAGTTTCAGACTGTGATTGTTTTAAATCTGTACCTCAGATAACCTCAGAGGACGGGGGGACAACACTGAAGGTTTGGGAGGGGATGGGGATTTACCACAGACTGTATATAGAATACTATATCTAAATATATATATCATATACAGTCCATGGGATTTACAGGGAATCTCACAAACACTCCAGCAAAAGGACTTTGAAAACTTCTCAAAAGGAAGCTTTTACACTTCCTTGAGATTTTGGCGCAACAGAGTCTCTATTTGTGATAAATTCCTTTGATGAAACTTCATAGCTTTCCATTTCCAAACCACATCCGCTTCTTCTCAAATGCAGAGAGAGAAAATCTACAACAACACGCCAAATGAACATATGTCAGAGTAAAGTGATATTTCCCCAAGTATAGATTCTCTCCCTCTTTGTGAGCCCGTTTTCTTCAATGAGAATCCCATGAATGTAGCACCTCTCATATCTAAGACATGCGTGTGTATTAGATACACACAACCACACACATATCATGCTGTATATATACACACAAAGCATCAGCAGGGGCTGAGCTGCTGAGCGGGGATCATGTTGCTTGAGAGCCAGCTGTTCCCAGAGAAGCCTCAGACAGAGAGAGGAGACGCTGTCAGGAATGTCTGCAGGGCAGTGAGGGGGCGGACGGATCAGAGGTCTGCATGTCCGCCCTAAGGCCTGAGGAGAGGAAGGAAACGCAAACAACATATCTGAAAGAATAGGCTGAAAATCTTACTAAAGTCAAAAACAACTCTAAAAATGGTTAACTAAACAGGTATATCTCCTCAAAGTTTAAATATTGTCTTTTTAGGTCCAGCCTCTGGGGAAGTCATGTGAACATAATAAACTCAGCTTTACAGGAAATGTTGTGATCAGTGGTTAACATTTATAGAACTGACACCTGTGGACACCTGTAGTGACTTAGACCAGTCCAATCATTTTCAGATCATTTCGGAGCTCTCTATTGTGAAATGTCATATATCTTCAACAAAGTCTAAATCATTTTTACAGGCCTTTTAAAAATGTTGTGGTCAGACACATTCAATACACAAAAGAAACCTCATTGTGCAATAAATCATAATTATATGCATATTTTGCACACATGTATACAATAAATAAGACTCCTGCACATATGTTCTCCAAGTTCCTTTATTCTTTAATTTACTCTTTTCGTATCTAAATTTATGCTGCTGA